CCATAAATTAGAGTTTTTGGAAGATTTTGACATTTTTAGCGGATCTGTTGCCTCTATCGAATGTTTTCGACGGAAGTTTATATGAAAATAGTTATGTAATGTAATATTTATCGTTAAGCTTATTTTTCCTCTTATCTCTAATCATTTTGTTAGTTTTAGGAGATGAATGTTTCAAGCACAAACATTGCTTTACTTTTTCTATAGTGTGTACCATAGAGATAACAAACAATTTTTATCTTTACGTGTAAATTAGGTTTAACAACATCATAATCTAATGTCTGAATCATATCCAAAGTGTTTCTTCACCTCTCTATATACCATACAAGTTGGGTGATATGAGGCTCTCTACGTATGTATTGGCCTCAAACCCGTCACTGAGCTTAACACCGCGAATTCCAAGATTCCTCGATGTATCTGTCTCGAAATTGTACAACACCATGTCTCCATCAAGCTCTAGAAGAGCCTCTTCATCGTTCTTAGTCGAACACAGCGGTTTCATCGACCTATACAACAAGCTGATCCGAATTCTGTGCCATGAACTTGCTACACCGTACTCATTCATCACCCAAATATCATCGTGCACCTCGTAGCAACTATTAACCACACAGAGACGTCCATTGATACTCCCAACTACAAAGTTTTTGAAAGTATGAGAACAATCCTCAGCTTCATCAGGCAATGTCATCTCTCGAAACTCCTCTGTTTTAATATCAAATGCTACGATCACTCTCGGGTTTTGGTTACCTTCTTTAAGAGTGAAAACCCAATGGATCACACCTTTGAAATGCACACCGGAATTGAAACCATCGTTGTGTACGTAACTCAAATCACTGATTCGTCTCCACGAGTCCGATTTCAAGGAGTAGACACTAGCGTTGATAACATCTTCACTATCAGCAATAAGCTTCACTACTTTGTAATCACCGGTCAAATCATCGAATCCAAATCCGTAAGTTTGGAACTGTTCTACGAATTCATTGGATTTGGGAGGTACAGTCTCAGGTAATCTCTTGGATTCTCCGGTGGTTGGATTATACAAGAACAAAGCACCTTCACCTGGAGAGATACACACTAAACCATTCGAAGATCCAACAATCTCAACCCAATTTCTTCGATACGATTTCGCATTAAGCTTAAGCATCACACGACGATCATCTTCGTCAACCTCAGATCCACCACCGTGTAGATGATCTCTGACGTAACTCCTAATCATCTCAGCGAAAATACTCGGATTGTCTTTAAGCGGATAATTGAGCTCTACGGAGGCTAAATCCCTAATTCCTTCACATCCGTCGCCGATCGAATCGAAATCCAAAGAGTATAGATTATGTGAAGAGACGATTAGCTTCCGGTGAACCGATCTAACGGAATCGTTTCGAAGGATTAGATCGAGGTGACGCTTCGCGAACCCTGGATCCGACGAGAGATAGCAAAACAGCTTTGAGACGCACCTGAATCTCCCGATCGATTTTGCCGGTAATCGAAGAAGAATTTCCATGATGATCTCTGGAGGTAAAGTGAGAGATTCCGGTGAATTT